CGCACACAAGACAAGCTTGCTGAAGGGTGATAATAGGAGTTTTATGAAAGTATCTAGTGACTATATATGTGTATATATATTATAGAAACCAGAAGCAAGAAGGGAAGGCAGGAATGAAGGAAGGACTAGATGAAAGGAAGGAAAAAAGTAATGAAGGACAGATGAAGGAATGTAGGAAGAGAGGTGGAATGCCCTCCAGGTAGGAAAGGAATGAAGGAAATTAGGAAGGAATGATGACACACGACCATTTACCTAGGATAACTACATAACACAACTGCCTGCTAATACTTTGAAGAAAGCTGCTCAGACGAGGTGTTTTGTCTTTGCACATAAAAAAAAAAATTCAACAAAAATGCACACACACTGATTTTGTGTGTGAGAGTGTAAAACACCATTGTGTATGACACCATGTTTTATGTTTGAGGAGTGTAAAACACCACTGTGTATGACACCATGTTTCAAAGAGTTCCACAAGCTGCAGAACTTCTAGGAATATGTTCAGTGACTGTATATTGGTATATATATTATAGAGCAATAGTAATAAACAATTTTTTGTATTGTTTGTTTTTGTAAACAAGTTTTGTAAACAATATATTGATAATTATGTTTGTGTGCTTATTGTGTTGTATACAACGAGTGTATATATGTAATTGCACCTTACTTTGGTCTCACAGGCCACATAAGTTATGTGAAAAAATAAAATAGTGAAAAAAACAACCTTCAAATACAAGTAAACTAAAGTTTACCGGGTGAGCGGCAGTCGCCGCTGTTGCCATACGCGGCTCATTTTCTGCAAACTTCATGCCTCTATATCTCGGTAAGTACTGATGGGAAAAATTTTTTTTGGGGACTAAAACAATCAGAAAAATAATCTTAACATTTTCATAAGAAAAAATAATTTTTTTTTTTTTTCGAATATTTTGCGACACCAGGAGACACTTCAGGATTGGGCCCTTCGACAGTCAAAGGGTTAATATATGTTAGTGTAAACTTGTTATCTGGCATTTATATGCATTTTTTTTTCAACAAACCAGCCATATCCCACCGAGGCAGGGTTATATGCATTTATAAGTAGAAAAAATGGCGTTTTGTTTTCCGGTGATGTCCATTTTCCGGAGGTAGCCTGGAACCTAACCTGCCGTATAAGTGAGGCCCTACTGTATATGTTAAATATTAAAAGCAATTAAAAAATAGAAAAACAATTATATCTCAGCATCAATAAATTGTAAAATGTAAACATTGTTTTTGTCGATTAGTAATCATTTTTTCACCAACCTCAACACGCCATAAATTCGCAAACTTTTGATAATTAGTGCAATATCTGCCGTTCTTTATCCCTACAAATGTCAAAAAATTAGGGCTGTTATGAAATTCTTTACTAGTTTGTAAAATAGTCATTGTCGAATGCTTGTGAAAATCTTTCCAATTTGTTCATTAAGAATGGAGCTCTTTCAATAAATAGGTCAATAACTTACTCCTGAGATATTAAGGAAAAAGCAGCCAAGCATATTACTTGGGAGCAAATTTTTTTTTATAGAGAAAATCGCGCTATTTACGAGTCTTGGCATTTGAAATAAGTGTTCTACAGTAACCCTTGTGGTACACATGTTTTCTATAGTGTTAGTGGACCAGAAAGTGTAAAATTATAATCTTATGGGTACACTCTTGTAGCGTTAGTTGCCAACCACTCATCAAATTGTCAGTTTTTATTCATTTGAGACTCTGTATTATATTTGTATGTTATTTATCATATGTCTAATATAATTCTGGAACAAGTGACAGATAAGTAACTAAAATGGTTAATAATAGCATAAATATACAACATTTTATTGCACCATGAGCAAAATGCTTCTTTCCATCATGGTGTCTTCACCATCACTCCGACTTCTCCCTGGTCTGCCATAGCTCCTCCCATTTTGTAATGATGCCAAATGATGTTTTTAATATATTAGGGGACAAAATACAAAATAATAATAAAAAATTAGAAAAATGCAGAAAATTCATTGCATGCACAGGGGATATCCTAACTGGCATCATCACAAGAAATGTTGTAGTGACTATAATTTGTTGTTGAAACAGCATACGAAGATGAGAATTATATCAAAATGTTGCTAGACTGATGTATTTTTATGAAAGCTTAACTCATTTCTAGAATTTTTTTATGTATATATTTTTTTTTTACCTGTCACTGCGCACAATCTGATACCTCTCAGCCCTCAAGGGACGATGGAAAAATGCAAGTAAAGTGGGGCCAGTGTGAGTACAGAGGACAAAGTGAGACGAGTCGTGTACTGAGCATGACAGGGCAGGAAGGTTTCACCATCGTACTCAGAATGGCGCACAATTTGAAACTTATGAATCATTTATTTCTAGAATTTTCTATTTAATATTTTCGGGTTGCAGTAAACCACGGATAACTGAAACCGTGAAAACTGAATCTGTGGAAACAACCTGTGGATAAGTGGGGTTCTACTGTATAGTACCCACACTCTTATGGTTAAATGCAAAGTTGCAGTTTGAAGGGTCATTTGAACTGTGACTTCCACACACGTTTCTGACCAAAACAATTAAATTCCCTTTTTTAAGCCATGCTAACATGCTTGTAAATGGTTGATGTGGTAAAAAAAAAAAAATCACTGTCTAGCATCAAAACATCCACAATTTAACAGACTCCCTTACCCACTTCAAATTTTCCCCCTCTTCCAATCTCTATCTTGGGGGCCTTGTTTAATGCACTACAACTGAATCCCACTTAGCCAAATTCATTGACATTGAGGGAGTCTCAGGATAACTGAAATTTTGTCTTTAACATTTAGCAAAATTCAAATGGATCTCACCACCACCAAACAAAACTAAGAAATAAAAAAAAAATATATATATATAAAAATAATCTTAACAGTAAAATAACAATAACAATAAAAATAAATAATGCAGGACTTACTAGTCACTGTATAACAATGTTCTGAATATTATTATATATTTACTACAGGTTAAGGTTTTATTCCCAAATCTGTTGTAGTATTTTCAAAGGGGTGAAAATAGAAGACAACTGCAATAGGCCTACTGGCCCATGCTAGGCAGGCCTTTCTCAAACTGAACTCTTCTCACTAATTTTCAAACCCACATAGGGCATTAGCATCAATGACTATTTAGTAGAATGTTTCACTCACCTACAAGTCTACTACTAAATTGGTACTAATACAAGATTATTTTCCAAGACAATACAAATGTATAATGGAGACTGATTAACATAGGTTGTGTTGCTGGCATCAGCTTCTGAAAGTGCTCAAACTCATTAGAAATCCCCAGTGGCATTAACTTCCAAATGTGCAATGGAAAAGTAGACAAATGCAGTATAATGTAATCTTCTATTGACAAAGTCTGACTTGACAAAGCCCACTGTGTGGGAAAACAGATTGCAATATACTGCATTTGTCTACTTTTCCATCATATCGGTATTTTATATAATTTATCTCCAAAGGCGCTCAAACTCTTCAAAACTCCCCAGTGGCATCAACCCACAAAGGTGCTCAAACCCCTATGAAATCAACTCCTGTCATAACTCTTGAGAAATGCCCAAATTCTCCTCATTCAATTTCATCATCCTCTATTTCATCTTCTAGTTAAATCAACCTAAAATAAGCAAGAAACATCACTTCCAATGATCAAGAATAGCATCAGCTTTCAAAGTAAATAATATGCTGTTTAATTAACAGGCAGACATTATTTAAACAATTTATAAGTGAAAAGCAACAGTGCTTAAACCTCTAACTGTCTCTCAAGTAGTTCTTCATGCTTGGGGTGAATGGTATGAAATGAATTTCTTGATGACAAATGAAAGATCAGAAGGAATACTAGTGAAAGGGAGATGATTTTGGTCAGTTTTAGACTGGAATTGGCATGAAATAGGCCACAAAATGGGAGAAATTAATTTGGGGCATATTTTCTAAGGAAGGGTTCCCACTGGGTGCTTTAGATGAATGGGTAATGTCTTACAATCAATGGATACTATGGAAGGAATACTATCAAAATACATAAGAATTGGGTCAGTTAGTCACAAAGTAACTTAAAATAGGCCTCAAAGTGGGCAAAATTGCTCATGCATAAAGTCCTCACCAACCCTCCAACTTTGCACCTGTGTAATTCTGTACACATTATATCAATTTTTTTCAATTCTGGTGTGACTACTATTTTAAAATAATTTTTTTTAATCCTTCCAATAAATGGTAACAGAGAAAGGGCTTTCAGTTTGGGGTTATTGACAGTGAAAGGGTTAAATGAAATTGAGTAAAGTATTTTAACTGTCATGTGGACATGCCTCTGGCAAGACAGTGATGGAGTGGATGATGATGAAAGTCTTTCATCTTTTTCAAGGTCATCCTGCCTTGGTGAGAAAGAGCCAATGTGTATAAAAAAAAAAAAAAAAAAAAAAAAACCCACGAAGTGAAATTAGATATGAAATATTATAGTTCAGGAACACATCTCCGATGATAACATGGGTGTCTGAGAAAACAGGTTCAAAGTTCTGAGCAACCATCTTACGAAAAATTTTCAGGAATGACATAACATCTTAAGTTAGGCCTACTGTGTTTGATAAAAAAAAAAATAATCCTTTGTTACATAGTGCTCCAGAGAGAAATTTACACAAAACATGAATGGTAAGTTGTAGAATCACTGGGGGCAAGTACATTCATAAATATCTCTTTAGAGATTGGATGTAAAATCTGTGTTAGTTTCAAGCTGAAATTTACATTAATATATTTAAGGTAACCCAATATTGATATACTATGGAAATTTTTTAGCAACACTTAGTAACTAAACTGAATGTTCCTTCAATAATCCAAGTTGTCAATGGATTATGGTCCAAGACTGACTGAAGCAGCTTTCTAAAGTTTCCTCCACACAATGCACATTAGTTGTGAATTCCAGGTGTCAAGTATAGGAATGACTGCCATCTACAAATATTACTTCCAATACAGAGAATTTTAAGATTTACTCACAAATTTCGATTTCCTCCTCGTCCTCTTCTTCTTCCCCGACCTCTACCTCTTCCTGTTTCTGCTGCTGCTGCCTGGGCTTGTGCTGCATCAACAGCAGCTACAATATGAATATACAGCATAAATACAATATTGTACAAACAAAACAGTAAAAATATAATTATCAAACTAACAATTTACCTATTTACAAGTGCTTTACAGCACTTCACTTTATGGCATTTCACTAATGCAGCAGTTTTCAATTATACCCATTCTTCATTTATTCAGACTTCCTACAATAAATATATCCACCACTCACTATAAGCTTCCCCTACAAGTCATGTGTATCAAACAAAATTTACTAAAATACTGGGAGCAAGGGACTAGTAACCCCTTCTATATTCATTTACTAAAAAATCAAAGAAGAAAATTTTGAAACTTCAAGTCAAAACAAAAGCCAAGACTTACCTAAAAGAATAAATTTCCTCAGTATTTTGTTTAATCTACTAATCTCCCACAACAGAAGGATGACCCAGAAAAGGAAACACATTCACTTATAATTATTCCCTAATTATCTTCCAGAAGTGCATGCACATCAAAATGGAAATGACTCTCCAAACTGCTACATCCCCATTAATCCAATAGAGTGCAAGCAATGTAGTGCACACTTCCAGTATTTAAGTCCACTAACCAATTCCTCTAAAATCTTTAATTAATGTTAAGCCCCCAACCCCCAAAATCCATTCTTCACTCTGATCCAACATATTTAAGCCCCTACCATATCAAGCCCTCACACCATTCTTCCAATCCTTCTTGGCATGTCAATATTATTTGCACAATACCTTTTCTCTCTGCTACAATCTCTGCTCTCTTCTTCTTCAAGTCTTCAGATAAAGTTGGCACAATCTTGTCAATAAAATTATCCACCACAAGAGATCGTGTCTCAGATGTAATGCGAGTACGGCAGTTTGGGCAGTCTTTTTTGTTTTTTTTCCACTGGTCAATGCAGTGCTGACAGAATGTGTGGCTGCAGTTCAACATTATGGCCTGAAATTTGATTTGTTTATAAAAATAGCAAAAATACAATAATAATAACAATTATACCTAAGTAGTAGGTTGGTAGATGGTAACCACCCAGGGAGGTACTATTGTCCTGCCAAGTGAATGTGAAACCGAAACCTGTAATTATTTTACATGATGGTAGGACTGCTAGTGTCTTCTTTCTCATAAACATGTGGGATACCAGGTATATCTTGCTACTTCTACTTACACTTAGGTCACACTACACATACATGTACATGCATATATACTGTATATATATACCCATCTGAGTTTTCTTCTATTTTCTTAATAGTTCTTGTTCTTTATTTCCTCTAATCTCCATGGGGAGGTGGAACAGAATTCTTCCTCCATAAGCTATGCATGTTGTAAGAGGTGACTAAAATGCTTGGAGCAAGGGGGCTAGTAACCCCTTCTCCTGTATAAATTACTAAATTTTAAAAGAGAAACTTTCATTTTTCTTTTTGGGCCACCCTGCCTCAGTGAGATATGGCCAGTTTGTTGGAAAAAATAAAAAATGAAATGCCTATTTCAAACCATCCCTCAGGAAGATTATTATCCCTTCATGTTATAAGTGCAATGAACAAAGATAAATAAAAAATTAATCTTTGGCATCTTTTTTTCCTTATATGATTAACTTTAAAATAATATTCTTATTTCTGCTACACTTTATAAAACTCTTACTAACTTTACCATATTCAACAGATGATATTAACACACAAGTAGTCTCCCACCAAGGTAGGGTGACCCGAAATAGAAGAAACACTTTCACCATCATTTGCTTTATCACTATCTTGCCAGAGACATGCCAGTACTACAGTCGAGATGCCCCTTCAAACTGCAAATATCCTCAAAGTACAGGAACTGTACTTCCCACCTCCAGGATTCAAGTCCAGCTAACTGGTTTCCCTGAATCCCTTCCCAAAATGTTACCTAGCTCACACTCCAGCAGCTCACCAAGTCCCAAAAACTATTTGTCTCCACTCCTATCTCACTCATTTCTATCTAACATGCTCACACAAGCCCCTCACACACAAAACCTCCTTTATCCCCTCTCTGCAACCTTTTCTAAGGCAACCCCCCCAACCCTCCACTTACAGATTTATACACCCGCTAAGTTATCCTATTTTGCTCCATCCTCTCTAAGTGTTCAAAATCACCTCAACAACCCCTCCTCAACCCTCTGGACCACCATAATAAACTGTATTTTACTAAAAACTTCTTGTATCAAATGCTGTGGAATTCATAATACAGGATTCATGCGTCTATGTAATACAGCCTCTTCTCACTTAGCAACGTACTAGTTTACAGATGACTCGAACTTACGACAGGCTCTCTCACTAGTATGCATACCTAAATAATGTATATTAGAGCTGATTTCCTCTGTTCTGTTTATTACAATATACAGTACACTACTGTATAAACATTTAAAAATATACCAGAAATGTTATAAATGCTGCATGACAATATCAAAGATGGTTAACACAAACCCACTACCATTTTAGCATGCTCCTCACTTACCAATGAATTCGTTTACCAATGTGGTCTTAGGAACAGAACTCTCTTGTTAAGTGAGGAGAGGCTGTACTGTGCTACTCTCATTACAACAGTGTATCAGAATCTAGAGTTGTCAGCACAACTTTCAGTAACTCCACATCTCCTTATCTCCAAGCGATGAATTCTCCACATATTGTTTACACCAAAGACCTAAGTGAATTTTTTATAAGCAAGACTCAGAATTTGGAGATGCAAACCTATATGATGATATCCTAACACCAAATGACTTCCAAGAAGCGATAAATGACATGCCCATGCACTCTGCCCCAGGCCCAGACTCATGGAATTCCATGTTCATCAAAAACTGCAAGAAGCCACTATAATGTGCTTCTAACATTCTATGGAGAGGGAGCATGGACACAAGAGTCATCCCACAGCTGCTAAAAACTGCAGGCATAGCCCCATTCCACAAAGGGGACAGTAAAGCAATAGCAAAGAACTACAGACTGATAGTGCTAACATCCCATATCATGGAAAGAAATCGTATAAAATACCGACACAATGGAAATATAAACACATATGCAGTATGATGTGATCCTTTATTGACAAAGTTTCGCCAACACAGTGGGCTTTTTCAAGCCACAAACAGATCTGTATGTGACTTGAAAAAGCCCACTGTGTGGGCGAAACGTCAATAAAGGCATTGCACTTCCCATTTCCAGGACTCAAGTCCAGTTATATAAAATAACCAGTTTCCCTGAATCCCTTCACTTACTATTACCCTGCTCACACTCCAACAGATCGTCAGGTCCCAAATACCATTTGTCTCCATTCACTCCTATCTAACACGCTAACGCACGCTTTCTGGAAGTCCAAACCCCTCGCCCACAACACCTCCTTTATCCCCTCCCTCCAACCTTTTCGAGGACAACCCCTACCCCGCCTTCCTTCCCCTACAGATTTATATGCTCTCCATGTCATTCTACTTTGATCCATTCTCTCTAAATGACCAAACCACCTCAACAACCCCTCTTCAGCCCTCTGGCTAATACTTTTATTAACTCTACACCTCCTAATTTCCACACTCCGAATTTTCTGCATAATATTTACACCACACATTGCCCTTAGAGAGGACATCTCCACTGCCTCCAATTGCCTCCTCACTGCTGCATTCACAACCCAAGCTTCACACCCATATAAAAGTGTTGGTACTACTATACTTTCATACATTCCCTTCTTTGTCTCCATAGATAACATTTTTTCTTTCTTTCTTTCAACACACCAGCCGTATCCCACCAAGGCGGGGTGGCCCAAAAGGAAAAACAAAAGTTTCTCCTATCACATTTAGTAATATATACAGGAGAAGGGATTACTAGCACCTTGCCCCTGGCATTTTAGTCGCCTCTTACAACACGCATAGCTTACGGAGGAAGAATTCTGTTCCACTTCCCCATGGAGATAAGAGGAAATAAACAAGAACAAGAGCTAGTAAGAAAATAGAAGAAAACCCAGAGGGGTGTGTATACATATGCTTGTACATGTATGTGTAGTGTGACCTAAGTGTAAGCAGAAGTAGCAAGACGTACCTGAAACCTTGCATGTTTATGAGACAGAAAAAACACCAGCAATCCTACCATCGTGTAAAACAATTACAGGCTTACGTTTTACACTCACTTGGCAGGACGGTAGTACCTCCCTGGGCGGTTGCTGTCTACCAACCAACTACCTAGATAACATTTTTTGTCTCCACATATACCTCAATGCACCACTCACCTTTTTTCCCTCATCAATTCTATGATTAACCTCATCCTTCATAAATCCATCCACCGATACGTCAACTCCCAAGTATCTGAAAACATTCACTTCTTCCATACTCCTCCCCAATTTGATATCCAATTTTTCTTTATCTAAATCATTTGATACCCTCATCACCTTACTCTTTTCTATGTTCACTTTCAACTTTCTACCTTTACACACACTCCCAAACTCATCCACTAACCTTTGCAATTTTTCTTTAGAATATCCCATAAGCACAGTATCATCAGTGTGGCATGCAAAGAGTACGTAACCTTTATTCGGCGCATGTACACACCCTCATTTACAGGCTATCTCCCCCAACCAGCGAACCAGGTTGCTAAGAGTTGATGATGGGGCCCGTCGTTCAACTAGTGACCAGGTTCTAGCCAATAAGAAGATGGTTTTTGGCAATCGCAGAGGTTATGTGGGTACCGCTCTCCTGTCTGCCCTTGTCATTCCCATTCTAGAGCTGGTTGAAGCACGGTCTGCTATCTTGTGGCTTCTATTTCTGCCTTGCTTACCATGGAGTGCACTATACTTATCCCTGTACATAGTGTACATATTGCTGTTCTAAATTGGTGAAGGATAATATAAGTCTCAACTTTTTCTGCTGTGTTTATTTTGCTCCCATTACACCCGGGATAACAGGCCATTTGGAATCCTGGGTTGTAATATGGGTAGCCTGTCCGAGAGCTGGAGCTGGACTTAGAGAAACGGTTGAGCTTAGGGTGAAGCTCGTAGCAGGAAAATTGTGCAGCTTGCTGTCTGGCATTGCTTTACAAATTTTGAGTGTCAGTTACTGTTATGGTCAGCCTTGCTATTGTGTGATCGTTCAACAGCTCGCTACTAGCTTGTTCGGTGTGCTCGCTTCGCTATGGTCAATCTTGTAGAACAGTGTAGCTGTCTGGCATTGCTTTACAAATTTTGCGTGTCAGTTGTTACTAGCCTGTTCGGTGTGGAGAATTTTGCAGTCGGCTTTGCTTGTATGCGTATTCTGCAATCATACTGTGCATAGCTAAGCGTGTTCTGCAAATTAACGTGTTACGTTGGGGTATTCTGCAATCGTACTGTGCATAGCGAATAACTTATGCCACCTAGACGAGTCAGATGTCTGGTGTCGGCACATACTTTGCATAACCTACCTAAATTGTCCCTACAGCGTTGTTGGCAAATTGCTCGTTCCATTGGCATTAAATACAAACGCACTCTTACAGCTGCGCAACTGCGTTCACTGATTGCTGACAAACTTATAGAAGAAGAGATGGCACATCAGACTCCTCCTTCTATGGGAGCTAGGGCAAAAACTACTATGTTCTCGCAGGAGGAAGATGATACACCTACGGAGCAAAATGGTAAGTATAGTGCAGCTGGGTTGTCTCAAGGTGAATCAGCGTCGTTGGCACTTGAGCTGGCAAAAATCAATCTTGAGCAAACTAGGGAACAGAGAGCATTCGCAAGGGAAGAATTTGATAGTGAAAGAAAAAGGAGGCAGTTTTCGCATTCTGTAAATGATTTTAGTTTACAAAAAGCAGTACATATTGTTCCCCGCTTCAATGAGGCCGAACCAGAACAATTTTTCGAAAGCTTCGAAAATCAGGCTCAAGCCTTGAGGTGGCCGGAACAGCATTGGGCATTGTTGGTTCATACAGCATTATTGGGTAAGGCACAGGAATTTACGTCAGTATTAAATGACG